CAGGCGGGAATCGAACTCATGCGGCAGCGGCTTTAGATTCTCAGTGCTGTGCTTCAACCCACTGCGCCACCAGGGAGGGCCCAATGCTTGTCTTTTTAAGAGGGATTGATTAATTCTGAATTGCCCTACTAAGAAACAGCTTTTGTTGTTGCTGGAGAGAGAAATCTCAGGAAAATTACAGTTGAGATATAAAAATGAAGCCCTGATAATAAGTACAAGAAGAACCTTGAGGTGGTGACACCCATCTCTAAGGGACACCAGAGTAGAAAGTACCTGCCTGTACTATGGCCACAGAAGATCAAGAAAGGGGAGTGGTACATATGATGGGGTTGGAGCAGCTTTGAGGCAGAAACACCTTTTGAGAAATAGTGGCCAATGATTGTTGAGGGTCACTCACCAGACAGGGTGACATAGTCAGCTTTTCAGAGGAAAGGGAAGTAGGAGTGGGAAAGGTGCAATTTAGCTAAGTCATCAGCCAACAATAGGAAACAAAAGAAATCCAGGAGGAATAGAAGTACAACTGCCATTTGCAAAAGACATGACACTACACAGAAAGCCCTAAAGATTCTACCAAAGAGCTATTAGCAACAATAGATGAATCCAGAAAAGTGTCAGTTACAAAAACACATTAATCTGTTACATTTTTACATGTGATGACTGAGAAGAGAAATTATGAAAATTCCATTCAAAATCATTTCAGAAAAAAGCAAATTATCTCAGAGTTAACCAAGGAGGTGATGGATTTAACACTGAAAACTGAAGACTTTACTAAAGGATATACATGAGGACATAAAAAGATGGAAAGACATTCCATGTTCATCGATAGGAAGGATCAAAATGACTATCTCACCAGAGACCATGTAATACAATCCTTATCATTATACTAACATATGTTTTTAAAGAAACTGAACAAATATATTGAAATTCATCTTTAATCATAAAAGGCCTCTGGTAGGAACATATAATACTAAAAAAAATTTCAAAAGGGAGAGAAATGGAGGTCAAGTCACCTTACCTGACTTGAAATCCTATCATGAAGACGCAGTAGTCACAATATGCTACTGGCAACAAGATGAGACACATGGATCAGTGGAACAGAATTAAAACCCAGAAATAAATCTAAATATACATCCATATCAAATTTATAACCAGGCAGACATGGCCATACCATCGGTAAAGTGTCTCTTTATCAACTGGTGCTAGGAAAACTGGATGGCCACATGTCCAAGAAGGAAGTTGGATCACTCTCTAACTCCATGCCTGGAAGGAAATCCAAAATGGACTATAGAAGAAAATTTGAAGAGTAAATTACTGGAAGAAAATAATAGCAATATCTCAAGACATCATTAACAAAGATTGACGCCCTTGGCAAAGTAATAAATTCAAAAAGAACCAATTGGGAGTTCCTCAATTTGAAAAGATTAAACACAGTGAAAGAAAATATAGAATGATGGGGAAAAAATCCTACCTGGAGTATCAGAGTAGCCCCAGGCATCATGACCTCCCCCAGGGCTCCATCAGACTAGTGAGACCCCATACCTGCAGTGGGGGAGGTACCAGATTGGCCCTAGGCCCTGCGACACCCTACAAGGCCCCACCAGCTGCCTATACAGACTGGTAAGACCCCTGAGCACTGAGAAGGGAAGAGCCCAAAGGAAGCTCTACCTACTGCAGCTGTGCCCCAAAGCACATAATGGAAAGAAAAAAACCCAACAAGCAAATCACGAGTCATTAGGGGCGTAATGCAGCGGAGAAAAAAACTCAAAAATCCAATTCAAAGACGTGAAGATATGTCTAAAATTATGATAAAGAAATTCAAAAATGGAAGAATGCCACCCAAAACTCAGAAAAACAAATAAATGTTTTTAGAGATAAAATCAGTGAGCTGAAGATGGAAAATGCTCTCAGTAAGACAACAATGAGTCTGAGGATTTAAAAAAAGAAATACAAGAAATGAAAAATTTGGAGGAACTCAATTAGAATAGATCAAATAGAAGAACAAGTCAGTGAACATGAAGATGGGACTGCACAAAGAATTTGGTAGAGGAGGAAAGAGAAACAAAGTAGAAAAAATTAAAGAACACTCCAAATTCAGGAACCTAAAAGAATTCCCGCCTAGCTAAATCTGGAAAATACAGAGAAACCAAATAAAGGGTCAGATAAAGCCAACTAAGTGGATTACAGGCCTGAGATTACCAGAGGGCGGGAGAGAGGGGAGGGGAAGAACAAGTGGGGTGGACCGCAATGACTACGGTGGTGGACTACGGTGGTGGACTACGGTGTTCTGGCGATAACACCTGATGAGGTAGAACCAGCACTTCTAAAACCTGAAGAATGATATAAATCAATGTTGTCTCAATTACAGAAAAAAGTAACCTATGAGATTTTCAGTTAATACTAGATTGTCAACATATAACTGCATTTAGCAGGTTTGGGCTTTATATATCAATATAGATGAACAATACAAAGAACATTAAAAATCCTGCTCGATCAAGGTTGCTTTTTATACAAATTAATTTACATATTATTTATTAGTTTTACTAATTTTTAGAGGGGTCAGGGTTGTGCCTGCAGAGACTATTTTGATAAATTTAGAGACAATGTAGCGTGTGCCACTCTACCTGGCCCCTCCAGCCTCACCTGACATGATCCCAGGAATGTTCAGAGGAGAAAAAAACGTCACCTTCAAGACTGACCCTTCCATTTACTGCCTAAACAAAGTTTTAAGTGATGTATTTTTAAACAAGAAGTACTGCTCTGAACAGATGTGATAGTATTCAGATTTGGGCCATTTTTTGTTCACCTATATTTTATGAGAATATTCTAGAAAATATAATCCTTTAATATCTAAGCAACAAACATTTTCATTAAAGTAAGAAAACAAAAAGAATAGAATGCTTAAAAATTGCTTTTTGTGATACCAAATACGTTTTTTCAGGATTATTCATTCTTTTATTTGCTGAACTATCAATTTCTTGAGGTAGAAAATTAAATAATTATTTCAGTTCAAGAACCAAAATTAGTCTAAGGGAAATGAGACTCTCTGAACTGCTACAGACAGCACCCATTCATTAGCTGTGAGTTCCAGACAGCAGAAACCCCACCTGCTGCACTCCAGCCACATCCCGAGGCCAGCCCTGGCGGTCCCCGCCCCGTCCTCCTCTGCCACTTCATTTCACATACCAAGGCATTCACAGTTCCCCAAGAGCAGCACGCCTTTGCAAATGTTCCCCAACCTGTAAGACTTGTTATGTTTATCTGTCTGGTAAATATTTAGTTACTTCTCAAAACCCCGTTCAGGGATAACCTTTCTCAGGAAATCCTTCCAAGCACCCTGTTCCCAAAAGGGTAGTCATGTTTTTCTATGTGCTGTCTCTACTCCTTGTGTATATATCTCTCTCCCACTGCCCTCATCATCTCACATATTAAAATAATGTATTTCCAAGTCTGTTTTCTTAGCAGCCTGTGACCTCCTTTAGGTGAGCCAAGCATATAGAGGGGAATTTCAAAAAGGTGGGAGGCATTTGCCAATGACACACACTGAAAAAAAAATTTAATATATAGGAAGAATCATTATTACATGATTTTAAAAATATTTTGAAGATAACTGGCACTAAACTTTACCTGTAAGATCCATTTCTCGAAACTGAATAATAGGTAGAACCATTGTGTCTGCCAAATGTTTAGCCAGTTCTGTATGGAGAACATTAAGCTGAAAGAAAGAGAAACCTATTGAAGAAAATCACATTCACTATCATGACATTGCCTTTTTTCACCAAGGATCATGCTGAAAACGCCCGTGTTGTTGAGGAACTCAGTCAAACAGCTGTAGCAAACAGATGCCCTTCATAAAGCAATCACCAATACAGGCCTATGGGTGTGCAGCGCTAACTGCAAGTTGACAAGATTCTGACAAGGGCATCAGTCAAACTTGCTAAAGGAGTCTCTTAGCCCAGAGGTCTTGTTTGCCTGCTGCACAAACTCTGGCTCTGGCCTCCCCTGAGCCACACCGCGGGCGGGGAGAGTGCTTTGATGAGCAGTCAGTCAGTGGGCACCGCTCACTGCCGGGGCCGCACACAGGCCACCGTGTCCCCAGACCACAGTGAGCTCTTGCCCTCAGACGGGACTGAAGCTGCACTCAAAAAACAGACAGACCTACTGGAAACCTACTAACCCACAGCCAGCTGTGGGCCTGGGGCTCACTCTGGACAAAGAACACTCCTCCTGACACTACTCGGCCAGATTTCAGGTGCGTCTTCTCTTTAGAAAGTCCTGACCTTTCTAAGAGTGACAGGACTGTGTTCAGTGTGTCCTCACCAGATTGTTTTAACCATTCGTTCTTTCTCCCCTTCCACCTCAAGGCCTTACTAACTCCTGTCCACTTAATAAATGGCCAAAGTAGGAAAAATGAAAACTCTCCCCATTAGTACTGCCGTCTGGGAGCACATTTTGTGTGCCAGCTTTCTATATTTTACAGCATTCACTGCTCATCCACTCTGTGAGTTGAGTACTATTCACTTTATAGACAGGCAAATAAATCCCCCAATCCAGAGAGCAAATAAGAGGCATGACTAGGCTTTTTAATCCTAGGATATTTAAGTAACTATCTCAAAATGGAAAGTGGGTCACAATAAAAAAAAAAAAAAGAATCAAATTACACTTTGTTATGTCGCACTCTTACCTTATCCACCACTTTGGAAAAACAGTGGAGTGTAGAGATTACTTCTTCATCACCTTTTCCAAGGGCAAAATTCTAAAACCAAAGAATTAAAAATAAAAAGGCAGGTGTTCACTGGGAGTTAACTAAAGAGCTCCGCACTACAGCATCTCCCTACAACACGCTGCCCTCCCCCCTACACCTCACAAATGTGTCAGTGCCGAAACCAGAGCGCGCTCCTGACTGCCAGCACTATGTGAAGGCCTCTCTGGGCTAGGCCTTCTTCGGCTTTCACCCTTTAGTAAGACATCATGGCATCACTGAGCTTATTTCCTATTATGTCAGTGGGGATTTACTGGTAGCTGATGAATATGAACCCTCAAGAACAGCTGATTTTTTCTGTGGGTTATTAGAACAGATGATAAAAATTGTGGCTAGTAACCAGATAGAATTTACCGTGGGAAGGAAAAAGCAAGACAAAGGAAAAGGAGGAGAGTGGGAGGAAAGGAGGAAGGAAAAGCCAGGAGGGAACGAGATAGAAAAGAAGGGAAGGGAGGGCAAATTCCTTTGTAAGAAATCAGCGTAAGAGACTCCTGAACACAGAATTGCCACGTAAATATCCCGTTACCCGCTTTTCATACGCCAGCAGTTGCTTAGAAAGTTGTTGAGTAGCCAGACACATTTCATTCTGCAAAGGAAAGAGAAAAGCAAGATTGATCCACTGCACGTACAGTAAGTAAAATACGAACTACAAAACAGGACAAATGCCACCTCAGAGAATCCCTTAAAAATAATATGTGCGTAAGTCTATAAAGGAGTAAAACAGCTTGCTCAGGAATTAAAAGGTTACCGCTTCCTTCCTCTCCGCATACCCAATCACTTACAGATTACTGCTCCTTCTGGCCGTTCAGTCGGTAAATACCCGTAAAAACAAAACCAAAAAGGGACGTGATCCCGTGCCCACACAGGGCTCGCTGGGGAGGCAGACATCAAAACATAGTTCCAAGCATGGAACAGGAGTTACTGACTGTGAGGAGTGTGACCGGGGGAGCCACTGTCTCTAAGGAAGACAGTCTGAAGCAGATCCCTGGACTTAGCGATGGAGACGAACTTTCCGCACTGAGGGAACAACAAGTGGGGAAACTGCGTAACCAAGAGGTGACAAGCAAAAAGCCTGTGTGAAGGGCTATAGAGGGCAAAGTTGCAAAGCCTGAGGATGCGGGGTGAGGCCACGTGCGCGTGGCGGAGCAAGCATGCAGGTCTCCATGGCCCTTCACCACGTGCAGCGGGACTTAGGCCGCAGCACTGTGGCATCAGGAGATGGTTGGTGATGATAATGACAATAACACAGACACACAGCTCATGCCCAGGGAGGCCCAACTGTGCCCTTTTCACTAGCCATTACTGTTCATTTTCCTCTTTTCTTTTTTGTCCCTTCAATCTGCTTCTCAGCCTAGAAAACATGTCTTACATTTCTAGGGTTCAGCTAAGGCCACCCTTCAGATTCAGCACTTACTCCTAAGAAAGGAGCAGGCTATGGCCTGGGGCAGGCAGATGTGGGTGGACACTGGCCTGCCATGGCCTTGTCCTCCATTCACTCTGTAGTTCTCCCAGATCTGCGGCTCCTTTAGAGGTGAGGTGTAAGCACTGCAGGAGCCGGTTTTGTTTTTCATGATTCTCCCTTGCAAGAACCATCAAAGCCTAAGCCCACTTACTTTGGCTCTTTGCAGACAAATGGCAAGCTGTTCTGACTTCCTTCATCTGCCCAAGGAACAGGCTAGGCCCTGGAATGTGACTCTTCCCTTTTTCCCCAGAAAAAGTCAGGTAAATATAATGAAAGTTCCTGGCTTGTGCATCTTGCTGGGGTGCTACTACCCCTTTCAAAAATACCCAGAGCGGCCCTCCCTGGTGGCGCAGCAGGTTAAAGCACTGCACTAAGAAACTAAAGCCACTTCCGCATGAGTTCGATCCCTGCCTGCCCCAGAGGTGACCACATGGCGTGGCAGACCTCTCCTGGCCCGCCCACTGCTCCCCTCAGCAGTGTACTTCCTCGATCTGCCTGTTCTGCTCCCCACTCTGTCCCTGGTGAATCCTCTCACCCTCCGCATCTCTGGCCTGTACCCCAGTTCTGTATGAATAAATAAATAAATCTTAAAAAAAAAAAAAAATACCCAGAGCTGGCAGCCACACAGCGAAGAGGAAAACAAATCAAGATCTCCATAGCAGTTAAGAGATGAACATGCAATGGTTCCCAGTGCATGCAGTCTCACAACAGAGTCATCCAAATCCAAATTTGAGATAGTACCCAGAATCACGGTATAAAGCAGGAAATATCCTAGCCCTACAAGGCAGCAGCACAACTGGGGGTGAGGGGCGGCAACAAAATAAAAAAGTGAGATGATGGTGCAGCAGGAAATACTGCCGAACAACCATCTTCCTTGGGGCTGCGGTAGAGATCAGCATGCGTGGGAACAGCAGCTGCAGCCAGTCGCTGGGCTGCCAACCCTGCCGCGTCGGCCAATCTCTCGCTTCTCGTTTCTGAGCTCTCAGTGGGTTTTTATTCAGCTACCTTGGCATCTGCTGGGGCATCAGCACGTGGACGCTGATTTGAGACCCACAGACTCTCCTAATAATAGCAGCAAACCTCCACAGAGCATTCAGTCCCCAGTGGGGGCCACTGTAAGTACCTTCAATAAGCTGTTTCACTGGATTCTGACAGCTGTGTGAGGCAGGTTTTAACTACAAACTCACATTTTCAGATGAAGAAACAGAGGCACAGGGAGGTTACGCCACTCTCCCAAGACCACATAACTCAGAAGCAAGGCTGGGATGTCAATCCAGGCCTGTCCAATTCTAAAAAAACACTACTCTACTTTACTTGGAAGGAAGAGCTAAGAAGGCAGATGCTTTAGACCAGAGTTGACAAAGTTGTCTTATACGACTAGATAGTAATTCTTTTCGGCTTGGGGAACATATGGTCTCTGTCACAGCTACTCCACTCTACTGCTGTGCCATGAAGGCAGACATAAACAGTACATGAACAGTTTCACTACAATTAAACTTTGCTTACAAAAATCAGAGGCCAGCCCCAGGGTCACAAGTTGCTGATCTTGATTTAGACACTATCTCCCAAAAGACTCACTCTTCTGTTCTACCTCCCTCGAGATGCTCTGCGTTAGGCTAACATACATCAGATTCAAGAAACATTTTTATGTGATTAAGTCAGTCTTTTCCCTAATCTTAGCGAAGTCTACGATATTACTCCTTCCACATCTGTATCCTTCAGGGGCTGATCAACAGATAGGACATCCACCCTTCATGTCTTGTCTTCAAAATAAGCAGGAACACACAGGCTACCTGAATTCTTCCCTTGAGCTTATTGGCAAGGGTTGAAAAGTAAAGGGAAAACCTTCCAGGGAGCTGCCGGTGTGAGCTAACACCCCGGGCAATGCCAACGGAGCTCAGAAAGGGGGTACAACATATAATAGTTGCTTCCCAAAACTGTACAACAGTACTGTGCCAGGTCTCTCCCAGAAATACCTCCTGCAAATAAGTATTTTCAGATGTATATGACTTCAGGCTACAAGGTTCTATTCCAACAGTATAATTTCAGTGACAGCAAATAACACAAAAAGACCTGCCCAAAAAGAAATGAATCTCTCGGAAACTGTGCACATATATGAAAAGTCTTTCGAACTGGACCAAATTTAACTTTACATATACTTAATCCACTTACTGTACACCAAGTTTTTATGCAATGCTTTACCATCCGCAGCTAATTAATCCACACCTTGTGAGGCAAGCCCTACAATTATCTCTGCCACAAGACCTGCAAAACTGGAGCTTGAGCAGAGAGTAAATATTAATAATAACAATAATAGAGAGAACTACTAATATTTACTGGCTCTTTTTAGTTACCTGAAATTTCTGTTGAGCATGTTTCATATACTAGCATTTTTAATCCTTAAAAGGAAAGGTGGGTATAGTTATTATCCTCACTTTATAAATGAGGAGACTATTTTAAAAAGGGTAACTCCTCTCTAAAATTATACAACTAGTAACTGGAAAGACAAAACTTGCCTTCAATTCAGATCTGCCTGACTCAAAATCTACCGCCTGAGCTCCTGACACCTGTTCTGATCTTAAGTCAAAACTGCATCTAGTTAGTACTCAGGGTGCAGACCTTGCAGGGAATATAGATAGGGCCATAAATCCCTACTTTTCAAGCCAGAATGCAACAAAAGAGGCTGTCTAAAATTTAAGTTCAAAATGGAGTCCTCGTGAGTAAGAGTCCTTTGACATTCTGGAATAGTTCTCTGGCTACCGATAAGAGTCCTACAAAAGATAAATGGACACACGGTTTACGGATGACATCACCCATGTCAGACTCTCCCCCAAGACTGTGAAGAGATGGAATCCCCCAAGGCTGTGACCAATGCAGAAAGCAAATCCTAAAGGAAAGCTTCTGATCCAGGAATCTTTATTTCATGAAGAACTGCCACTGTCACCTGACACCGCCCAAAGGCCTGTGGGGGAGCAGTGTCCACAGTGCACAGGAACACAGAGAAACAAGGGCACAGAAAACCCACCAGAATCAGAGTCCGCTTCCACCTACAGCAAACAGTTGGCCGAAAACACTGCAGCTGAAAGCCTCCTCATCCCAGGGCTCTGCACACAGCTCAGACAGGCCCACATGAGAGAAGGCAGGGCCGAGAGGCACACAGTGGAATGTTCTGTTGGGGCATTTCTTGTAAATTCCTTTAAAAAAAATTTTTTTTTAATTGTAGCCTCTTAGAAAAAAGACAAAATGACAGCATTCAGAGACTCAAGACAAATATACGCATTAAATGTGAAATTTGGACACATTTAACTAAATATGTATATAGAGGCATCTATGCAGGTACTGTGGGCATTTTAAACTTATTTAGCCAACAATTTGAAAGATGGCAGCTCTTTCTTAGATGGCCCATGTTTGCCCAGCCAATGCACAAGAAATGTGTATAACTTCCTTTATGTAGGTGACCCACAAAGGAATACTCAGTGTCCACCATCTGCAAAGGCAGAAAGGCACATCTGACAGTTACAAGACCAGATGTGACTCCAGCGACTGCAGTAAAATGCTGCAAACAGCTTACTGACTACAGCTTTATGCTAGCACTTAAGTAAAAAAAAATTTTAATTTCCCCAAATCAGCTACAGACAGCAAAACTGCTCAGAGAACTTTCCTCCACTTTTCCTTCTCTTCCTCTTTCTAAAACTAAAGTCTGAACTTATTATCTACATCAGGATCCAGAAATCTGCCATGTGATCTGATTTAAAATATCTGTTATGAGCATTTGTTATTTATCAGCAGCATAAACCCAGTTTTTAAAATAATGAAAAACTACAAAAGGTTAAGTGCCTCTTTTCAAAAATGAAACTATAAAACTCTATTAATCTAACTGAATATACCTAGGTATAAAGTAGTCAAGGAGCATGAAATAAAACAAGGAAAACAACTTGGATAATAACATTGAGAGAGTGGTACAGACAGATAGACACAGCCCACAAACTGATAAAAAAGGAGTTAGGAAAATTTTCTTAATTAAAAAGAAACAAAGCCAAACACCAAAGCCTTGCAATAAGCCTGAAATGTCAACTGGCCCAGATGACCCGAATGCCACTGACCATGGCCTGAACGTGCGCTGAGGCGGGGAGCGCCAGCCAGACCGCCTCACTAGCCTTTGCTCCGGGAAGCCCCAGGCAGGGTGCAGGGTTTGGGACCAGCAGCAGAGACCATGTGATGATCATGCGGTATGAATTAAAAGCACTTACAGCCTCTTGGAATGCAAGACCCACTTAATTTTGGCAAAATGTAGCTCTCTGGCTCACAAGCAAAAACTGTCTAAGAGAGTGTTTTGGATATCTCCAAGTAAATGATTCCAACAGACATGGAAATGCAGAACAGAGATCTTGGGAGTGGCAGACACGGTCCCTAAGTCTTGGGGCTCTCAGACCTTTTACAGGAAAGAAATCATTTAAGGACAAGAGCCAAGTGAGAAAATAGCAAGCAAGTTCAGGTACACATCTGGGGGGAATATTCTGTTTTCTTCAATTTTGTGTATTTGGGGGGAAAACGAGAACAGGAGAAACAGAGCTTTAAAAAATTAACAAGCTACATTCCCAGTTTCCGAATATCTCATCAAAACAAACAAGCAAAATCACAAATGAGCACCATTTGTCTGTTAAAATTAGTTCCAAAGAGTAAGATGCACCTGTGTGAAACCGTAGAGTCGCAAATCTGTGTCTCCTGCCTGCACTCTGCCTCTGGGCCTTAACTCTGGGCCTTAACCGTCCCTACTTTGTGTCCCACGGACACTCAAAACTAGCCATTCAAGAAGTGAGGCTCAGCAAGGCTACCCACCCCCAGCCACACACACTCACATTCTGCTCTATTTTCTGGTTCTCCCTACTACCGACCCTGCCGTTCAAGTCAAAGACCTGGCCATCAGTTTTCATTTATCCTTCACTCACGTGACCCCTTCATCTTCAAGCAACACCAATCCACCTCCTACATACCTCCAAAATTAATCCACTTCTTTCATTTCTACTGCCACATTCCTACTTCAGAACACCATATAATTTAAGAGTTTGGGCTGCGGCTTCTGACTGGCTCTACCATTTATTGCTGAGAAGACCTTAGCAAAGTTACTCATCATCAGAATCCTTATGTCTCCTGACTTATGAGTATAATAACAATAGTCACCTCATAGAAATAACCAATGTTAAAAAAATAAATAAGTAAATAAAGAAGAAATAACCAATGTTAAACAGCATCAAAGTTGGGCCCAGAGCTAGTGTGTAGTCACTAAACCCCAACTATCAAAACTCTTCTCTTGAGTGCCCAGCACAATTTCCCTGGGTTAGGTGACTCTCCTCTCTCCTAATATTATCCTGGTAGTTGTTTTGTCCATCTCCCAGTTATGTCTCCCAGTTATAAGCAATTCATGGCAAAGACTGAGTCTTTTACACACACACACAAAGTGTCCATATACAGTTTGAATAAATGACTAATCAATGGATAATAAATGACTATATATGAATATGAGTATACTATTGGGTGTAGTCTTTTTTAAAAGATCAATGAGAAAATGAAAACATGAACACCTACAGGTTTAAGTCAGTATGGAATCAATAATGAAAAGCATCTCTTTCAAAAATATTTCAATGTGTAACATAATGAATTTTACTTTCAAGTAACTCACAAGTCTTCTCTTTAAAAGTAACATACATGAGCACTTCTTGATCTTGCAAAGATTCACTTTTGCTACTCAACAATTTATTTTCCATGGTTTTGCAAGTCAGAGATTTGTTCCTCTAAACAAAGAAGCAACCCAATAGTTTCCAAACTGTGATTCAAGTCTTTTCAGCTGAAGCACTTAAAAAAAAACTTTCAACTTGCCTGTACTGACATCTAGACTGCCCATCTGTGGAAAGACAAAGAGCACATCATGTCTTTGAATACTGAGCCCACTCATTCACAAGTAGGAAGGGGAGATTCAAGTGTTTTCCTGTAGGGCTGAATTAAAACAATTTTTTTTGATAGCAGTTATGTGGTTCCTCTCTACTGACTTTCTAGTTAGAGGAAAATGACCTCTTTAAGGCAATGAAAACAAACTGTCCTCAGTTTTTTTTGGTGAACAGACTGAGAAAAACAATTGTGATTTTTATCTCAGGATGCCAAATAGTGTGGTTAAGCCCCCTGAGAGTTAAAGGACTCCCAATCAGCAACTCTCCAGGTGAGGGGCTGCAGATACCTGAGCTCCGTAGACACGCTGCATGGCCTGCAGCAGCTGGTTGGTGTAATCCGTGAGAGTGCAAGCATCTTCTTCAAACACACTCAGGAGAGAGCGAGTCTGTAAGAAAAGAGGACAGTGTTATTTATTTTTTTTTTTTTTTTTTTTTTTTTTTTAGGATTTGTTTATTTGTTCATACAGAACTGGGGTACAGGCCAGAGGCTCAGGGGCGGTGAGAGGGTTCACCAGAGACAGAGTGGGGAACAGAACAGGCAGATCGAAGAAGTACACTGCTGAGGGGAGCAGCAGGCGGGTCAGGAGAGGTCTGCCACGCCATGTGGTCACCTCCGGGGCAGGCGGGGATCAAACTCATGTGGAAGTGGCTTTAGCTTCTTAGTGCTGTGCTTTAACCCGCTGCGCCACCAGGGAGGGCCAGGACAGTGTTACTTTTAAGTGGAAAAACTACAAAAGAGGCAGAACTCACACCACACATGGAAAGGGGAGGGGCGGTCTCTGTTTGGGGCTTTCTTCTTTTACTGATAATACTAGGATGTGCTGATTCCTGGAGTTATAGTTTAGAGCTCCTTTGCTGATTCTTTACAGAACAATGTGTGGGCAAAGCCAGTACAATTTGAGGATCTGGGTCGGAGAAGAAAGTCTTTTTTTTTTTTTTTTTAACAGATTAAGATTCAACAGCTATTAGCTGCCCCATCTTTAGCTAGTAGTCATTCTTTTCTCTTAAGATACTACAGTTAATTCCTGCATCTTTTGTCAACGTTTATTCTACCATTTTTCAAGTTGAAGGCCAGGAAATTGTTTATATTTTGGACCTACCAGTGGAAGAGCTGGGCCCAAAGTCCAAATAGCAACTTGTAAGAATGTTCTCCCCATTCTTTTAGGGAAGACTGGCTAGCCAGGGCTCTGAAAGCAACTGGCGACGTCACCAGACGGGATGGATTTCCTATTGCTTACATGTGTAATGCCTGACACATGCTGAACACTACAGAAACATATACTGGGAGCCCTCTCTGGTAGCAAAGGGGTTAGGGCTCAGCACTGCAAGCTAGTGGCAGCTGCTTCAAGTGTGAGTTCAAACCTCCCCACCCCCCGCCCCAGAGGTGACCCACATGGTGCAGCAGATCTTCCCTCTCTCACCGCTGCTCCCCTCAGCAGTGTACTTCATCACTGCCTGTTCTGCTCCCACTGTCTCTGGTGAATCCTCTCACCACCCCTGCACCTCTGGCCTGTACCCCAGTTCTGTATGCATAATCTTTTTTTTAAAAAAGAAATATGTATTGGACACTGTAGCTACCAAGAAACATTCATTAAAATGTCTAGTATGGTAGAAATTTAAAATACTCTTTTGCAAGGGAGAGTGTTTTACGTAGGCAGGAATCTCTATGTCAGAGAACAAAACAAACAAAAAAACCCTCAAGAATAGAAAAGAAAATCTTAGAAATCCCATTAATGAGCTGACATCGAGATTTTACAATCCACTATTTCATTATTTCCCTGCAAATGAATTTCAGTTCCCCTTTCTTCTGACCTCCTAGTTCCACTAAGACACCCATAGTGAACTGCAACAGGAACAGGGAGCTGGGATCATCAATGCTTGGTTTTCTACAAACTCTGGTGCACTTCAGGCCTCACTATCTGACCCTGGGTTTGCCCAAGGGCAGGCTGAAAATACCTGCTCTGAGACCAATGTATTCTCTTCAGTAACAATCCTTATCTACAGCAGAATCAGAACACAAAAATAAGAAAGCTGTGAGAGAGGTTTCTAAAAATCTTTCAAAGGCAGCAAAATAGAACACAAATAGTAATATGTTTTAAAACAAAGTTCTTCAAGCCTTTTAAATTAAAGTCCACATCAATAAATACATTTTACCAAACAGTATTTATCATTAGTGTGAGTACACACTGATTTTTTTCTGTTCTGTTCTATTCCATTTGTAAACAACAGGAAAAAGCACAGCTGTAACCAAGTGGACCTCACAATCCATTAATGAGTATCTACAGTAGGTGAAAAACTTTGGTTTACAAGTCTGCATTACAGCTCTTTAAAATATACTTTTTTTCTTTGAGGGGGAAAAGATTGTGAAAAGACATTCCCAAATCTGCACTCGATGAACTCTATATTCATGTGTCCATACTGCGTACATGACTATCTCTGCCTTCATGCAATACTTGATGAGACTTTGTGCTGAGAACTGAGATTCCAAGGTAATGAGAAGCAAGTCTGTTCTCAGGAACTTATAGTATGTAAGCATCTTAAAGGGTCTGGGATCACCTTGGGACCCTGTCAGTCCTAGGTGCAAATCCAGACTCTAGAACTAATATGCAGAGTTAATGTGATCACGAATATTACCTATAGGTGCCTGGCACATGGTAACAGCTGTTGATGCTGATATAGAGAGGAAGATAATAAACTTTGATTGCTGATTATATGCTGGACACTAAGTGCTTTACATAGATTATTTCATCTTAACACTACAGCAATACTATTACCAAGTAATTTATAAATATAATCGAATAGTTGGGGGCCTCTTTTGTACTCATGATGCCAATGGCACAGGAGCCCCCAACAGTGATTATGATTCGGGCACCTTTCTTTGCTGTAATTACTAAGTCTGGGAGAATGGGAAGGAAGGGAGTGATACAACCGGACTGATGACACTTAATTTTTAAAATACAACTTATATCCAGATACTGAGTCTTCAATAACTCTGGAGTAAAACAGAGAGGACAATGAAAGTTTCAGTGAAGAGAGGGCTTGTGCAAACAGAATGGAAAAACTAAAGTATCATTTATACTACCTCTTGTGTGTCACATGTTATGTGAACACCAGGTATGCATTACTTCATTTAATCCTCCCAACAACTTTGAGGCAGGTTACATTAACTCCATTTTATCGATGATGAAACTGAGACTCATCAAAGTTAAGTAACTTGCTCAACCTCCGATGATGGCTGGGAAGCCTCACAGCAAGCTGTAAATCCAGGTCTGACCAATAGCGATGGCCAGCTTCCTCGGCAGCAGTCAGAAGACCGCAGGTGTCACCCCCAGGGTGGATCTCATAGTGGACATGCTCTCTGATCCACAGCCCACTGCACTGCATGGAGGCAGGACAGAGGCTGGAAGCTGCCCTTCCTTTCGCTAAACCACTGTCACACTCTCACCTGTGAGAACCACCCAACAGCTACATCACAACGTCTCCTTTATACTCAGGACATGTGTGCCAGGCTCCCATTAGAACTGGCAGGAAAACTCAACTCTTTCTAATTTACTAGGCCAACTTCACTACCCACCCCCCAAAAAATAGCCTCATCTATTTCAGACATGATTTGCTAGGTTTATCATCTCCATATTTATCAGTTCTACATCTGTTCAAACTTACAGTTAGAATAGGAATGCTCGCAAACATAAAGAAGGAGTAAGACTAAGGACCAGGCCAAGGTATATCAGCTGCTGAAAATTCCACAAAAAGATCAGAAAGGTGGTATGTATATCCCTTCCAGAGACAGTAACAGCAACCATTTATATAATTCTTAAAATATACAAATAGGTACTTTATTTATATTATTCATAATAATTCCACTAAGTAGGTATTTTAATTCTAAATTTGTCAAAACACAAGAAAAGTTGAGTAACCTACCCAACGTAACACAGAACCAGGACTTTAATTCCATCCTTCCTCTACAACCCTACATTATTAAAAGTATGCCTGGCCGGGCCCTCCCTGGTGGCGCAGCGGGTTAAAGCACTACACTAAGAAGCTAAAGCCACTTCCGCCTGAGTTCGATCCCCGCCTGCCCCGGAGGTGACCACATGGCGCAGCAGACCTCTCCTGACCCGCCCGCTGCTCCCCTCAGCAGTGGACTTCGTCGATCTGCCTGTTCTACTCCCCACTCTGTCTCTGGTGAATCCTCTCACCCTCCACATCTCTGGCCTGTACCCTGTTCTGTATAAATAAATAAATCTTTAAAAAAAAAAAAAAAAAAAGTATGCCTGGCCAGAATAACCAACCAAACACCAAAGATAAAACACTAATGCCTTATTGTCCTTCCATATTAAAGAAACTGGATGAGATCTCATAAAATATTCCTAGACACTTTTTTATTCTCAAGAATAGCCTCTAATTATGTAATTGCACAACTTTAATAGCTCTGTTTAAAATATATGTGTGCAACTATATGTATGTTTATATTTAAGCAAAATGCAATTAAACTTCTTATACCCACAGTGTGACTGGGAGAGAAAACTGTCTCAGTTAAAACAGAACTCACCGAAAGGAAAAATGTATTATTAAAAAAAAAAAAACAGCAAACCCCTCCACACAAAGACAAAAACCACCAGGTGGTTGACGTATCCTGGGTTTAAAAAAGGCTTGATCTGGTTAGTGAGGGCTGTTCCCAGCTGGGCCACTCACCGCCTAACCTCAGAACTAAGTGTTTAATTTCTCTGTGTATCAGTTGTGCCAACTGCAAAGGAAACCCCCAAAATCAAAATAATTCTGTTGTAATAATGCTTTTGTGTTCATCTTAACTCAAAAACATACTGCTAACAGAAAAGAGAATAAGCCCCCAAAGAAGTAGGAGCTGCAGCAGCTTAAAGCTACATTTGTCTTCCTATCACAGCAGTATTCACAGTGTTGGAACTGCTGCTTTTCTTATCTAACCCCTGGAACAGACTCTGATGCACTGGCAGGCAGGCAGAAAGAAACACTGCTCACAACAGCAGGGTAACATTCCGCCTCTCGTATATCTAAGGTAACCAGCACAGACACACAGACTAGTCTTACCATGCACTGTTCAGCACTGGGAACTAACAAGGAAGACATGAATAGATCTGGCTAAGGTTAGTCAACTCTATTCAGCTCTTCTTGGGTCACTGAGTTCAAATACAAAAGCTTTTGTGTTCATTTAATGAATCAGCGCAACCAGGTTACTGCAGCAATTTTTATAACTACACTAAACTAGAGGAAACAAACAACAGATGACTTCTAAGATCATTTCCTTTTAGTGAACAACTTTAGGTCACGATGACAGAAAAGCCAGGTGCTGGATAGCAGGGGTGGACAACATAGGCAGACTGTTCCAATCCAGGCTCTGCCACTTGATTATTTGGGAAAGTTATGTAATCGCTCTGCTCTGCTGATTTTAATGGAAGACCTACTTCCAAAGGTTGTTGGGAGAATTATGTGAGTTAGTACATGTAATGCATTTGGAATAGTACCTGGCACATAAAAATCCATATTTGACATAGATCATTGCTATTGTTTTATTCTTTACACCCATACACACAAATGATGGAGTTGGGTTAGATTCCTTCCAGATCCAGGTCTGAGTCTTAGAACCAAAGTCACATTGGGCACACACCACTTACAGCAGTTCTAAATAAATATGCCCTGATGATTATCAAACAACCTCCTGGAAGTAGCTGCCGTTCAAACTCACCAAGAACCCTCCATTAAGAGGAACAGTGAGTAGGAATAAGAATGTCTCCAAGTCTATTCTTCCACATACAAGTTCAGTGTCATAAACCATGCATAGGACAGAAATTTAAGCTTCTGTGCACCTCACACATCATATGCTCCATGCCCTCGATCTGCAGATGTGAAAATGGGGCAGTCACAAGGTGGGGATAGGGACAGGTCCCAATCACGTGACAAGTCAGTTGAGAGCCAGCATTAGGTAGGACACAGGTCCCCTGACCTTTCTGCCAATCCTCTTTTCTTCTTCACAACAAGCAAATCCTGTAGCCCACTTAGAAACAGTGCACCATTCATTTATGTGACAGCCAAAAATCCAGAATGTAACATACTGAAGAAGGCAACATGGAGAGACCATGCAACCTCTCCAAGCTGCATCAGCCATCACCATGCTCACTTAGGAAAGCAAGATAATCCTCGTATCTCATTTTCTCTAACTACGAAGCAAAAGGAAATTCTGGTTCAAAGTGGTATCATCTGAAATTCGACATTATTATCTTTAGACCCCACACACAAGTTGAGAGGGTGGACAAAAATGACTTCTACCAAGGTATTAAAATATCACAAGTCTAGAGAGTTCAAAGAAGCCTTTGCAAAGTCAATTTAAAAAAAATCACAGCTTGCTTAGTGTCAAACTTGCCTACATAAGGAAGACCACAGAGACCAGGGCACTGGCAATCAAGAACACACCCTTTTGACAGCTTATCTGAAGATAACAGTTATCAGGTTAGTGTAGGCAAATTCATCCGCAAAGAGATAATCCAGGCAGGTACAATTCACAAAGAAAGAAAAGGAAACAACCAAAAATGGGGGTGGGGGAGTAGTTAAAGGAAACAGGTTAACCTTATTCTAAGTTTTTCAAGCGACACTAGGGACTAAAGAGATGTATAGCTCAGGGATGCAGGACCAAGAGAATAGATGTGAAGCCAGGGAAATTTAATGAAAAACAACAAAAGTTCCCTGGGGAAAGGACCCCTGAATTATGAACTAATGTCACTCTGCACCATTTTGTATACTCACACACCAGCTTTCATCTGCGGGACTCAAAAGGACTTGACGCACATCTCCAACATGCTAATGAAGTTTCCCCACGACAGCAAGTCGGGCAAGTGTGGTGTCATTATATTTTCACAAATGGGACCCGAGTGCCCGAGGGAGACCTGGTACCGCTGGAAAAAAGATCGAGCGTCTGTCTGCCTTCTATTCTGTCCTTCAGTCCACCAGGTCCCGCAGAAACAGCGACTTTCGCAGTCTGATACCAACTTTACAGGCACTGCCTGGTTCATTCTAACGACCCTGTGCGGCGAACAATTCTCACTCCTATTTAACAGGTGACAAGAGCGAGGCACAGAAAGTTAGGTGATGTGCCCAGGAGCTCAGCTAGAGTTTAGGCCGGTATCCTCCCTTCTGAGAGTGTGCAAAGGGGCCAAGACACAAAGACTCCGGGCTGGGGCGAAGGTGGGGGGGAGGGGGAGTCCCCCACCCACCCACCCCGGTTCTGCAGCTCCCCGCGGAGTGGCCTTCCCGGAGCTCTCCGGGTTCTGGCTGCACGGCCAGGAGCCCCCTCCACGCCCCCGAGGGGCCCTACAAACTCCCGGCCGCCACCCCGCGCCGGAGGGGCCTCCACAGCCTCAGCCCCCGGGCGAGGGGGACCTGGAGGCGGGAGGTACCTGAGGGCTGTCCTGCAACGCCTCCTCCAGCAGAAGCTCGTCCACGACGGGCATGGTGCCGGCGGCGGGGCCGAGGGCCGACGGAAGGACGAGGGACGCGCGACGGTGCTGCGGGCTCCGGCGACGAGGAGACGCTCCGTGCCGCGACACCCCCGCGCGCCCGCGCCAGCCAGGGGACGCCCTCGCCGTCCGGTCCGCCCGCCGGCCCTCCTCTCAGCCCAGCCTTCGGCGAGCCGCGTCAACAGGAAGTGTGGCGAGTGGCCGGCCCGGCCCGGCCACCGGAAGTGTGGCGACCCCGCTTCCGCCGCGCCCACGCCCGCCCCCGCGGGATGCTGCGGACCGGGCTGGTCCTGCTGCTCTGGACTCGCGGGCGTCGCGTCCCGCGGCTGAAGACCCGGATGCTCCTGCCACCTAGTGCTTATAAAGCCCAAGGCAGGAGCTGGTGGTCGGAGAGGTAAATATTGGTCTGGCCAGAAAACTTGGGATGGACAGAAGAGGAAATAGATGTTGCCTCGAGGACTCGCCACCTTTTTAAAACAGAAAAATCACCCTACACTTCTCACACCTTTTGTAGATACATCCCAGTGTCCCCGAATGTCCACTCGGAGCAGAGATCATCTTCATCTAGGAAAAGAAAAAACAACTAGATAATCGAATCATCTGTGATATTCAGAAATAAGCATTTTGGAAGCCACAACTGTTTGATTCGGGTAATAACAGGTCTCAGTAGTTTGTTATAGTTTGTCATTTGGGAAATTCCCATAATCATTTTTTTCAGTTATTGTTATTTAGAATAAGAAAATGGAATGCAGAGAATGAAGTGAAAGTTTGTGAAAAGTAGAGGAGGAAAAGAAAGAAGAGGGAGCAATGGGGAAAGTCTGGCCAGGGGAGTTTGACAGCTTTTTAGATCAAAGAGAAGGATTTTAGCAAACACATTTCTCTGATAGGACATGTCACTAAAGTCAACATGACTAATACGATAAATAAATATTGTATGTTCTGGACCCTCCCTGGTGATGCCACGGGTTAGGACACAGCACTGCAAGCTAGCTGCAGCCACTTCAGTGCGAGTTCGAACCTGGACCCCAGAGGTGATCACATGGTGTGGCAAACCTCTCTGACCCACCCGCTGCTCCCCTCAGCAGTGTACTTCGTTAGTGGCCTGTTCTGCTCCTCGCTCTGTCTCTGGTGAATCCTTTCACCACCTCTGCATGTCTGACCTGTACCCCAGTTCTGTATGTATAAATCAATAAATCTTTTTTAAAAATAATAATAATGTATGTTCTACTGAAACACCTAAGCATCTTGAGGTACAGTCTGCAAGCACCTTTGAAAATCTGGTCAAGGTCTGTTTTATCTCTTGAAAACATCAAGCCATCATTCTCAGTTCTAGCCAACACAAAGCTTCCCCTAACCATTTTATCGCCTCCATGAGATATCAGGAGATTACTAAACCATCTTACCAATGAGTAGGAAACCCAATGAATAGGTGAGGTAAGTGAAAATCACCAATTCACTGTCTCAGTGCAGCTGAGTAATCAAGTAAAAGTAAAGAGTGACAACTGACCTTTGGACTTGGTGAACTTGGTACGAGATCTTGATAAGAACAGTATTCTTTGGAAGCAAGATGGGATGTGCTCAAGAGCCATGGAATGAAGACAAATAAAGATCATTCTTTCAAGAGATTTTTTGGTTAAGTGAAGGGAAGTAAAGGAATATAGAACCAAAAAAAAGCTTTTTGATTTTAAACTCAGAGGCGTTGCAGACTTTGATTGAGATATTAAACTTCCCCAGCCTCCGTGTACTTCTCTATGATATGATAATTCCTTTCACACATTGCTTGCATAGGTACATAAATATAAATCAGAGCTTTTTCAGTGGTAAGTGACAGAAACTAAACTTCAGGTGGCTTAACGAAACATAAAAGGCTGGGCAAGACCGAGGGTGAGAAAGTAGTGTTTTTCCCAAATATTTGTATACTGATGAGAATGGTCAGTAAGGTGGGGGTGGAGGGCGGAAACTATAGAAGGATGTGACAATTTGCAGGAGCAATGTCCTTGAGTAGACAAAAGAACTAGCTCCAAATCACATGTGCTGGGAACAGAGGCAGGGACAGTACGTTCAGAGAAATACATGTGAGAGCAGGTTCGTAGATTAAATGGAGGAGGATAAAGGAGTTCTTTGCTGGTTGTTTTTATTTTTTCAGTAAAATAGATGCAAGGCCATCAGCTCAAAGCAATGATAAGAGAGAAGGTTGGGGAGGCGAGAGGACAGTGTGTGAATAGTAATCTTGGACACCGGGAGGCTACAATTGAGGCTGAAGAAACGCTGTGACACAGCCAGTGTTCGTAATGACAGAACAGTCCCTCGTGCACCCCCTGCCTGTTCAATAAGAAGACTTAGGCTAGCTGACCCTAGAACCCCTCCCCACACAACCCCAAGTATCTGACCCACAACAAGTATTTTCTAGGTAGTTATTGAATGAGTGAACGCTCCTGTTTTCTCCACCCAACATTCCTGTGACATCAGACTATATTTCACTGACTCCCTTTCACTAACTCCCTCATGCCTGCCTGTCTCCAAGCCACGTGGTAAACGATAAAAGGGAAAGAGAAGGGGAAACCTCACCAGCCCTAAATACTCCACTCACCTCACGGGGGTGGGGGTGGGGGGTGGGAATGGCCTCTTTCACTCCAGGTGCAAATTTGATCACATCATTGCTATTTAAAACCCTCCGGTGATAATAAGGGCAATACTAACTTTAGCAAAGAGGCCACTTCTGAGTTATTACTATGTGCCAGGTAGCATTGTACCTTCACTATTTCCTGACATCTGATCCAGAACCTCCTTTGTTATTTGCTGTATCATTCCCACTATAAAAGTGAAGAGGCTGAGGCTTAGGAAACTTCAAAGACTAGTGCACACTCAGCTCATTTCATAAGGATGCAATTCAGATGGTCTGTCTCTAGAATATGTTCTTACACCAACCTCTTGGGAGGCCTCCTTCAGTGGACCTCTGTTCCTGCAGGATCACATTTGTCTTCCCTCAGCGGGGACAGGCGCCTCTGAATGATCTGGCCCCCAATACCATGCTGATGTCATCTCCTGCCATAACAAAGGTCATTGTAGTCTTTGAGAGAAGTAGACTATTTGGTATGCTTGTGTCATTGTAGAGATTCATTCCCTCAGCCCCAAATGGCTTTCTTTCCGTGAGCCACTCACCAAATTCCTCTTTTAAAGCTCTGCTTTCATATCACTTCTGTTGTTAATGAAATGTAACTGAATGCTTCTTAAGTAAGCAGTTATTTTATCGTAACTCCAAGTATTGGAAGTTTGACAGTGTGAGGGACATGGCCTCAAGACAAGTAATTAAAGAGAGCATCCTGATGGGGGCGAGCAGGCTGCAAGGTCCATGCACGTGGTAGATGCTGAAGTCCACGTATTTAGGAAACAGAAGGGGAGCGTGGATGAGCAAAGTGGCCATCACTAGTTGGTCAGTCTGGCTTGTAGCTGTTGAGGCTGGTGTGAGGCGGAGGCAAGAAGGAGGAGCTTACAACTGCAGCCACTTACATTCTGGCAACCAGCTCTGCCCACCTTACATAACTCTAAACATAGCAACTTTGATACCCTATAAAAGTGACACAAGCTATGCGACGGCTATCGTCTGACAGATTCCGGGTAGCTCGGGAAAAGCTCTGAAAGATCAGACTTTCCATGCTAACTTGTGTTATGACCTCCCTTTTTTGTATAATCGTAATACCAAAATATTCTGAGCAACTTTCAGCCTACAATTGGATTGCCTCAGCTGCATAAGGCCTGCCTGCCCTGACAAGCAAGCACTGCACCAGGGTGAGAAATTCCTCTGAAGTCAAAAGTGACTTAACAATTGGCTGATCAATAAAAGCAAAAGGGCTGTTTCTGCAAAGTCTCTCACTGCCGGATGAGGAAAACCCAAGTCTTATTCTACTATCTCACCTAGCCTCCTATTCAGCTTCTACGGAATTACTCAAACTTCCTACTGTCTGGCTTTAGATATGGAAATTCATCCAGGTTGCCTGTTTTAGAGCTAGTCAAGTTTTTTTACCTGCTACACTTCAAAGCAATCCACAAAAGTCTTCCTGGCTAGTCTTTCAGGATTCTACTACCTAGTCTTTAGATAAGGAAATTCACCCATGTCTCCTATTTAGAGCAAATTACACTTTCTACTGTCTGGACCTCAAGGAAACTTACTTAAAACCTTTTAGCAAGTTTCTTCAAAGTAGGAAACTTACTTAAAACCTTTTAGCGAGTTTCTTGATTAGCAAGACATTTCCTCTTCCTGAGACCCCAGACCATTTTCTTAGAAAAAAGGTGATTGTGATCTTAACCCCTTTCGTATGCTAATACCACCCCCCTGCCTGCTGGAAATGTATAAAATAAACCTCTGCTGAAGGCAGAGCAGGAAGATTTGCACCCAACTCTGACTCCCGTGTCTTCCTCGCACCCGCTCCTCTCCCCCTCTTGGAATCTTCGCACACCGACGCCTTCCCATCTTAGGGTCCTGCCTGTGTTGCCTCCAGACACCTCAAAAGTTGGAGCTGGTCTCCGACATATGGCACCCTTAAACGTGGGGCCCCCAGTGGGGGCGACTTCTCTGACCTCGATTCTTTGGGGTCCGGGAACCTTGCCAAGGGGCACAGTAAAGTATCTTCTTGTGTCAGAATCTTTGTCTGGATCTCTCCAACCTTTTACTGCCTCAAAGTTTTCAGTAGCTGTTGCTATATCTGTGTGTTTGTGGTCCTGTCTGCTGCTAGCGGTAAGTCATTCTTGCAAATAAAATAAAATATTAGAAGTATATATGTATGGCATACTTCCTATAAACCTTTAGTGTGGTGTCCAAGAAGTCATAAGTATTTTGGGGAAAAGGTATCCTTAGATTGTCAATTTCCTCACAAGATCCTGTGTAGTATTAACCTTGCTAGGAAAGAGAGAGTAATATTACATCATGCAAATATTACCCAATAACATGCACATGAATATCCACTCTAAGTTCTTTATAAATATTATGAAACCTAATTTCCTTACTTATTAAACAATTTTACATAGCCATAATAATGTGCAAAGAAGATAT